GCCACGCAGAAGATGACGTTCCACAGCACCACAATGGCGGCGTTGAGCCTGCCATCAATCGCTTGGGGTAACCCCTAAACTCTAAACCCTAAACCCTAAACCCTAAACCCTAAACCCTAAACCCTAAACCCTAAACCCTAGACCCTAAACCCCAAACCCCAAACCCTAAACCCTGAACCCAAACCCTAAACCCTAAACCCTAACCTAAACCCTATTTCTGGTGTTTTTTAGGGGGGCCATGGAACCCATGACACTGAAAGCCTGCTCAGGCAAAGAAGACCTCAAATTTACCGATGTTGCATGCCTTCGCCGGGATCCCTCGCAAAAATTGCATGCTTGCGAGCAGGAAAGGAACATTCCTTCCAAGTCTGACCCCTAGGGCCCCACTTAGGGTTTAGGGTTTAGGGTTTGTAGGGTTCAGGGTTTAGGGTTTATAGGGTTCAGGGTTTAGGGTTTAAGGTTTGTATAAGGTTTGGGGTTCGGGGCCTTGGATCAAATGATGTCGAGGTGATGCGAGAGACAACAGGCCGATCAAAGTAGCGGTGGAGACTTCCCAGCCAGCCTCAGCTGCTGTGGGTTAGGGTTTAGGGTTTAGGGTTTAGGGTTTAGGGTTTAGGGTGTAGGGTCTAGGGTTTAGGGTCTAGGGTCTAGGGTCTAGGGTCTAGGGTCTAGGGTCTAGGGTCTAGGGTCTAGGGTCTAGGGTCTAGGGTCTACGGTTTAGGGTGCTAGTGATGGTCAGGGCCTAGGAACTTAAATTGAGTTTAGGAGGGTTGAGGGCTTGATTGAGTTTAGGAACGTAAGGACTTGTGTCAATTACCATAATATGCAGGACAAGAGTGCACGATGTAGCTTTCTCATTCTGGCTCTAAGGGAGCAGTCTTCCGTGGGGGAGCCCCCAAATAAGACCCACACTGTGAGGAAGGGCAAAACCCTACCTAAAACGCCCCTACTTCTGAGCGCGGCGTGGGAACATGACTACAACGGCACCTGCAACCTGAGAAGGCTGGAAGCACTTCCCTACTTCTCAGGGAACCGCGCGCAACTTGCGGACGCTGTCAGAAAGCATCTGACCTTCATAGCGCTAAAGTTGCCCCCAAAGAAGGCCACAGAGTTGCCAGGATGGAAACTTAAATCCTAAACCCTAAACCCTAAACCCTCAACCCTCAACCCTCAACCCTAAACCCTCAACCCTCAACCGCAGCGCAGTTGCTGGTCGGGCAGTGGGTGACATAGGTGCCGAAGCAGGTGCTGCCCATCCTGGATGCATTTGGGGATTTACGGGGTCCTTAATTTTCTGGGGTACTTAAGGGATCCTCGATGTTTCCGATATTGGGGGTTTAGGGAATCTCTCAAGATGCGGTCACTAGATGACAAGGTGAAAGATTGAAAGACCCTCTCAAGTTACTCGTCGAGCTCTACAAAACGGTGCTCACTCACCACCGCGAGCGTCGTCTTGAAGTGCCAGGGCACAAACGCCATACCCACGGCCACCGCCAAGGCGGGCAGCGTTAGGAGGAGCAGCTCCCCGCTCCAGAGCATCAAGTAGGAAGTCAAGGAGGGGTGCCTGTACTGAACTTGGGACCTTCGCAAGAATTAAAAGCTTTAGCTGTTTCTTAGGATTTCAAAGTACAACCAGAAATTTAAAAAAATACTTCCAAGTATCCCTAAGGTGCGTCATGTACTGCCAGGTCACCGTGTGGCTCACGCTCCACCAGTCGTGCTCACCCTCAACGTAGACGGCCTTCTATACTCCCCTTCGAACCTTAATAAACATAATATGTTTAATATCCTCTTGGGTTTCATATAAACAAAAATAAACTCCCAAAGGGAGATTAGCCTTGTAGAAGAAGCTGTGAGGGTAATCCAGCGCGGGCAGGACAGACAAGGCCAGGAAGAAAGCAAAGGAAGCCTGGCGGGGCCATGAACCTCTGGGGCCTCTCGGGGTTGCACCTTGGGGCCCTTCTGGCTGTACCCTTGGGTTTTGGGGACCCTGTTTAAAGATCCTGAAGGTAGTAGAAGGGCCATACCAACCTAAACCCTAAACCCTAAACCCTAAACCCTAAACCCCTGGCACTAAACGCTAAAACCCAGCCAACTTCTCTCAGGCCCTGACCAGGCAAACCGCCATCTGCAGGCTGCCCTCCGCGACCTCTCGAGGTTTAGGGTTTAGGGTTTAGGGCTTAGGGTTTAGGGTTTAGGGTTTAGGGCTTAGGGTTTAAAGAAATTGTATAGGGTTTGGGTCCCAATAACGTTTTGACCGAAACGTTTTGACCGAAAGTTTTGACTTTGGATCCTATTGTTGTACTTTATTGTGGGGCCGGTGGACCGGTCCGTTTTTTGTGCTTCTGGGCCCTGTTTGGGGGCTTCTGACCGGGGCCTGCGGGAACCATTTGGCTTCCTGGGGCTCTTTGCAGTTTCCTCCTGGGGCCTGTTTTTGTGGGGCCGGATCAATTTTTTCCGCAGCGCGGGCCAAAAGTATCTTCTTGAAGTGTCTCCTGAGTTTGGTTCATGGACGTATCCTCCTGAGTTTGGCGCGCGTTTTTTCTCGTGTCTTGTACAATAAGCGAAAAAAACAAACTGACTGAGAATTGCAAGGTTTTGTAAGGAGAGAGTGATCTGGAGCTGGGTCTTAATCTGTCGCAGCGTGGGCCAAACGTGTCCTTTTAAAGTGTCTCCTGAGTTTGGTGTGTATTTTTCTCGTGTGTTGTACAAGAAGCGAAAAAACTAACTGATTGAGAATTGCAGGAATAAATCGCCCTCTCCCTGTGACCCTTGAGACCCTGGCTCTACGAGCTCGGTCGACAGGTGGTATTCGAGCAGAACCCGCGCCGGTCTTGCTTTTGTTGCTCCTTACTGCGTGTTCGTTAGGAGAGTCTTTGTCTCGAGGTCCATTGTGGGAACATTGTCCACGAACGGCTGGTCTGCGTAGTCGGGATTGGTTCCCACTATGTACATGGCAGAAACGGCTTCTCCGTAGTATTGTTCCAGTATGAACTTGTACACGTTGAGCTGGAGGCGGTAGTGCCACAGCGTGCAGTCGGGGATGTGGTTCAGCGGCGTTCATCAAAGAGCTCCATCGACTCGTCCATGCCAGCCTCGTGGAGTTATGAACAAGAGTGCGCCCAGTCAAGGCAATGTCCTCACTGCTATTGATCTTTAAAGCGCATAGCAAATTCACCTTGGGAGTAAAGTTCAGAACGTGGAGATGCTCGATCTGCGGCTTCGATGTCCTCAATCAAAGATCTTTTCCTAACCTCAACACTTGAGGGTGTAAAGTCTCACGCACGCACGCACGCGCACACACACACACACACCTACGCACCTGGACTCACTGCAAGCTTCCATTTTTCCACCGATTGCGCACGCTACCCTTCTAGATTCTAGATATACCGTTGCAGTGATTTGAATCGGCAGCATAAGCGCACGCTCTCTGCGCCCGAGAGCTTCTTGTACCAGACGACGCCGGTACAGCTTTGTGGGACGGCCCAATCCCATTCCATCACCTCGAACTAACGTTCACAGAAGCTTGGGCTATTCCCGAAACAAGTGAGTGCCCCACACCAGGAACTCTCCAGGAACAGTATGCGGCTGTTCCACCTGATTTGCGCGGCGGTAACGTCGGACTGTTCTTCACACCTCACGCGCGAGCCTTCGCCTGGCAGAAGTCCCAGTTTAGCAAACCATGGTCGTCGTCCTCCGCAGTGCTCCGCACGTCTACACACAAAAGGTTTAGTAATAAAAGGCCGCAAGTCAACAGAACAGAACAGAACAATTTGGCTCCGCACCTGCTCGGCGCTGGAAATGTGAGCCTGCGTCCAACAGCAATGTTAGTATTCAGGAAGGCAGGGGACATATTCAATATTCAGCCTCCTTGGTCTTCTTCGCCGCGGGTCCTTGCTTGGGGCGCACCTCAAAGTAAAAGCTTATTATAGTATGGTGTCCAAAGGCTGACCCCCCTCGGTTTAGGGTTTAGGGTTTAGGGTTTAGGGTTTAGGGTTTAGGGTTTAGGGTTTAGGGTTGAGGGTTTAGGGTTTAGGGTTTAGGGTTTATAGAAATTGTATAGGGTTTGGGTCCCAATAACGTTTTGACCGGAAACGTTTTGAGCGAAAGTTTTGACCGAAACGTTTTGACCGAAACGTTTTTTTTGGAACCACATTTCTATTTTTGGGAAGGGCGGGGGGGCTGGGTGGCAGGGGCGAGCCTCGGGAGGCCCGAGGCCTGATTTGGGGCCTTGGGGCTTTGTGGCTTCTTGGCATCTTTTGGGCCTCCTGGAGCTTGTTGGGGCCTTTTGGGGCCTCCCGCGGCCTTGTTTCGGAGCTGGGGCGTTGTTTTGGAGTCTGGGGGCCCTTTTGGGGTTTTCGGGTCATGTTTTGGTGCCTCCAGCACCCTGTTTTGGTCTTGTTTTGGGGCGTGCCGGGGGAGGCTATTTCTAGGCGTTTGCCTGAATCCGGGCCCTTGCCTCTTTTTGCTTTTTCTAAGTGTTACGGTCTTGCAAGTTTCGCGAAACCCCCGCACCCTGATTTGGGGCTTTGGGGCCTTTTGTGGCTTCTTGGAACCTTGTTGGGCTTAGGGGTCTGGGCATCGGAGGGGTCTGGGAGCCAATTTTGCAATTTTGGGCTTTGGAGCCAATTTTGGATTCTGGGAGCCAATTTTGGGCTCCGCAACCAAATTTGGCTTAGGGAGCAAATTTTGGGCTTTGGGGGCCTTTTTTGGGCTTTGGAGCCAACTTTGGCAAAAATGAGCTCCGGAAACCAATTTGGGCTTGGGGAGCCAATTTTGGGCTTTGGAAACAATTTTAGGCTTTGGGGGCCAATTTTGGGCTTTGCAGCCAATTTTCTTGGGATTGGGTTTTGGACTGTGGAAGGCAATTTTGGGCTTTGCAATTTTGGGCTCCGTGAGCCAATTTGGGCTCCGGAAGCAAATTTTGGGCTTGGGGAGCAAATTTTGGGTTTTGGGGCCCAGCCAATTTTGGGCTTTGGGCTCTGGAAGCCAATTTTGGGTTTTGGGAACCTTGGGCAAAGCACAATTTTTGGGCTTTGGGAGCTTTGCAAGCCAATTGTTACCCGCTTTGGGAGGCAATTTTTGGCTTTGGGAGCCAGTTTGGGCTTTGGTAGCCTGTTTTGGGCTGTTTTTTGGCTTTGGAAGCTAATTTTGGGCTTTGGAGCCAATTTTGAGCTTTGGGAGCAAATTTGGGCTTTGGAAGCCATGTTGGGCTTTGGCAGCCATTTTGGGACTTTGGGAGCCCAGTTTTGGGCTTTGGGAGCCAATTTTCGGCTTTGGCCAAGTTTGGGCTTTGGGAAGCCATTGGAAGCCAATTTGGCGTTTTGGAAGCCAATTTTGGGTTTTGGGAGGCGATTTGGGCTTGGTTTGCCGGGACCCAGGAAGGCCCCAGAGGTTTAAGTAAATTGAACATTTGGCCTCCCGGCCTCCCGCTTTGGATTAATTTACTTAAGCTCTGTTTGTCAGCTGTTTAGACAAATATCTTGGAAAATTCAGAATGATACCACATACAATTTCTATGTATTTTGTCTTGAGGGCACAGGGTTTAGGGTTTAGGGTTTAGGGTTTAGGGTTTAGGGTTTGGGGTTCGGGGCTTGGGGCTTGGGGCTTGGGGCTTGGGGCTTGGGGCTTGGGGCTTGGGGCTTGGGGCTTGGGGCTTGGCGCTTGGGTTTGGGGCCCAGGGTTGAACTCGGGGTTTAGAATTTCGGGTTCGCTGTGATATGGTGCAGAAGCTGCGAAGCTTAGACTAGGGTGCTCCGACATGCGCGAAGTGCCAGCTATGGCCCGGAGGGCCATTGAACACTCTCCCGGCCAACGCTGCAACCCCCCCGGGCCTATCCTTTTGAGGTTTAGGCCTAAACTCAATTTGATGATCAGCTTGTTTCATGGCATCCTCTTTGTGCATGAAATGTAGGCTTTCTTCAGGAGTTAGCCTTAATAGAGAAAAGCCTCAGGGGGACCCTTAGGAGTGTTTGGGGTTTGGTTTCGAGAAACCCTCCCACCTGTGCATCCATGGACTGTGCCAGGACATCCCTCGCCCAACTGATCAGTCGCGCGCCGGCACTTCGAAACCAGGCCAGGAAACCAGCCGACGTCGCATGCCAGGAGAGGAGGTAGCCTTGGGTTTAGGGTTTAGGGTTTAGGGTCTAGGGTTTAGGGTTCAGGGTTCAGGGTTCAGGGTTCAGGGTTTAGGGTTTAGGGTTTAGGGCTTAGGGCTTAGGGCTTAGGGCTTAGGGCTTAGGGCTTAGGGCTTAGGGCTTAGGGCTTAGGGCTTAGGGCTTAGGGCTTAGGGCTTAGGGTTTAGGCTTAGGGTTTGGGTGTGCTCATCGAGGATCCCTGTTTCCATTCCCGGTGCGCTTGTGGGAACAAAGAACTTGGATCAAGGCATTTCCCAAACTCGTCCCCCTAATACACATGGGGGTTTACGATATTAGGGGTACCCTCCTAGGAGCCCTTTTTAAAGGGGATTCTAGCATATTCAGAGGCAAACTAGGGTACCCTACAGTACCACATCCTGCGAGAGCCCTTCTTATGGGAACCCCGAAAAAGGGGGGGTTCTCAAGAACGGGCGAGCTGCAGCCGGGCATGAAGAAGAGCTCGAAACGGAGGTTCTTCCATTCCAGCACGTCCACCCGCTGAATGAGCCACTGGCGCCAGGTGAGCGGAATTTGCCTCAGCTCGAATTCAGCATCTGAGTTTAGGGGCTTCGGCCTGGGAGTAACCCGCTTGAACCCCTAAATCCCTCGAAGTCCCCCTAACCCCCCCCCCCCCCCCCCCCAAAAAAAAAAAAAAACTAAACCCTAAACCCCAAATACCCTAAACCCCAAATACCCTAAACCCTAAACCCTACACCCTAAACCCTAAACCCTAAACCCCAAAACCGTAAAGCCATCGAGCTGCAGCCACACCAGGTCGTCCGGCACCAGGCACGCAGCGCCAAGCAGGAGCGCGGCTTGCCAAAGGCCCACGTGCAGCTTGCAGAGGGATGCAAGCACCAGCCTTGCAGGTTTAGGGTGTAGGGTTTAGGGTTTAGGGTTTAGGGTTTAGGGTTTAGGGTTTAGGGTTTAGGGTTTAGGGTTTAGGGTTTAGGGTTTAGGGTTTAGGGTTTAGGGTTTAGGGTTTAGGGGTTAGGGGTTAGGGGTTTAGGGTTTGGCCTCAACAATTCTGCTACTTCTTCCTTTCTCAAGCAAACAGTCGTAAAACCCTCAACTCGAGCCACGGAGCCGAGACCAGACGTAGGCGTAGAGGAACCACTCGTAGCGAAGGCGAACCGTCCAACCCTGATCCTTGTGGGCGCGCGGAAGAGTTTCGGGGGACGGACTCGGCTTAGGATGAAGGGTGTAGGGTTGAGAGTTCAGGGTTTAGAGTTTAGGGTTTAGGGCTTAGGGTTTACGGATTAGGGCGTAGGGTTTAGGGTTTAGGGTTTAGGGTTTAGGGTTTAGGGTTTAGCGGTTAGGACAACGCAGGCGAAGACGAGGAGCCAGTGGTAGAGCTACCGTTGAAATCCGAGACGTCCCACTTCAAGGAAGGCGATAGCATGGGGGGGGGGGGGGGGCGATGGGGGAGGGGTGCGAGTAATCATTATGTCAAGGGATTGGCAGCCAGAGGAGATTTGCCAGCAACTAGTAACCTTCCAAAAAACAAAACGAACACCGAGCTCGCCTCGGCCTTGATTTGTGTGTGAAGCGTCAGGGGCCATCAAAACTGTCGGGTTCCCCTCCTCTGAATCCCTTTTCACATCCCCGCTCGCGGGGGGACAGCCCTGAGTTTGCTTCGGACTGTCTCGGGGCCAGCACGGGCCCTCTCAAAAACACTCTTTCCTGGCTGCACTTAGCACGTAGCAGGGTAGCTAGAAGTTTAGTTTTTAGCTGCCTTGCTAAGAAACCCAATAAACCCAAAAAAGGCTAAGGATCTACAGTTGCAGTACAGCACCTTCATAATCCCTGCATGTCTGTATGGATAGACCCTAACATCGAAACCCTGAAAGCCTCGGGGCGCCGGGTCGGTGCAAGCGATGCACAGTGTTTTAAACATTGGTTTCGAAAACCCTAAACCCTAAACCCGAAACCCTAAACCCTAAACCCGAAACCCGAAACCCTAAACCCTAATTCCTAAATCTTAAACCCTAAACCCGAAACCCTCAACCCTAAATATAGAAGTCGCAACTGCTGCTCAGTTGCAGTCGTGAGGCACGACATTGCTGGGTTCACCACCAGCGTGCTTACCTGGGCTGATCTGAAACATCCACGAGAGCATGTTCCTAGAAGGCGGTAAGGGGAGGAGGGCCCACAGAACCCGAAACTCCAAACCTGAAAACCCCCAAACCTAACTTTAGTCCAAACAACCTAAACCCTAAACCCTAATCCCTAAACCCTAAACCCTACCCCTTGTTTTAGGGTACCAGGAACCAAGAAGTTTGGGGTTTCCTGCTTCACGCAAGCCCTTCCACCCCTAAACCCTTAAGACCTTCAGCCCCTAAACCCTAAAACCCTAAACCCTAAACCCTAAACCCTAAACCCTAAACCCTAAACCCTAAACCCTAAACCCTAAACCCTAGAACCTAAACTCCCCACTTGCGGCCATCGCACCAGGGCCGCGACGAGCGCGACGGCATCCCGGGAGCCGAGAAGCGGCTCCCGCCGTGAGTCGGTGAAACCTGACATTCGGGTTTAGGGTTTCAGGGTTCAGGGTTCAGGGTTTAGGGTTTAGGGTTTAGGGTTTAGGGTTTCGGGTTTAGGGTTTAGGGTTTAGGGTTTAGGGTTTAGGGTTTAGGGTTTAGGGTTTAGGGTTTAGGGTTTAGGGTTTAGGGTTTAGGGTTTATGGTCCTTTTTTGGGGTCCTTATGATAAGGCGGCCCCTCGTATTTAGGGTACCCAACAAGAGGCAATATAATTTTGAGAACTGACCATATCGAAAGTTGGGGGCAGGGAGGGGTCAAGGGTTCACGGTTCAGGGTTTAGGGTTTAGGGTCCAGGGTTTAGGGTTTAGTGCTTAGGGTTCAACGCTTAGGGTTCGGGGTTGAGGGTTTAGGGTTTGCTCACGGAAGCGATCACCCCAAGACCACCGAAACCGTACTCTGTCAGGGCTTACTCTCCCATTGCTTTGTGTTTTCTCTTCTAGTTGATATCGTAGACATAAATTCACGCAACACACAACAGGGACCCCATGTTGCTTAGAGAAATCCTGAGCAATCGAAGTTGAATTGGAGCCGAAGCAATACGTTCTGAATCCTACTGTATGGCCCACATGACTCTACTTATCTGACACACTTGTGTGATCCGACCTAGGCCGCTGGCTCCCCTAAACCCTAAACCCTAAACCCTAAACCCTAAACCCTAAACCCTAAACCCTAAACCCTAAACCCTAAGCCCTAAACCCTAAACCCTAAACCCTAAACCCTAAACCCTAAACTATGCTTGAGTGCTTGCCTCTAAACCCCCGACCACCTCTAGGGTGCCCTGGAACAAACGCAAGGCTCCCCCGCTCTTCTCATCTGTTGGGATGTTCCCCCTTAAACCTAACAGTCCTTACTAGGGGTTATCGTACACCCCTTTTACTACTAAGGACTGTTAGTAGCAGGGGGAACATCCCAACTTGTCTGGAACACAGGGGGGTTTGGGGGGTTCAGGGTCTAGGGTTTAGGGTGCGGTTCAGTGTTGAGCGTTGACCGTGGCTGCTTACTGGCTTTGAAGCCCTACAACCCTAAACCCGAAACCCTAAACCCTTAACTTAAGACAGGGAACAAGAGAACCTCTGGGCGGGGGGGGTCCTAGAAGAGCTGGAGAAATCCCAAGCCCTCCCTACAAGAACATCTGGGAAGCCAAGGAGGAAAGTGAAGGCGATCATGTCCCTCGCATGGCACGCACCTGTTCAGCGTTTTAGGGTTTCGGGTTTAGGCCTCTTAGTTAGGCTTCAGGTCCGGAGGCTAAGGAGTCCAACCCCCACAGTAAGGGCTTCGAGTCTACAACCTAAAGCCTGAAGCCTCAACCCCCCCCCCCCCCCCCCCCCCCCCCCCCCCCCCCCAACAAAAGCAAAAATAAATTCACAAAAACAAAAAACACTCCCCCCCCCCCCCCCCCCCCAATCTCAAGTGGCGGTTTGCTGGCAATGCAGTGCTCTTTTGAACTCTCCTAGGATTGAGTGTTTCTCCCGGACAAGGGGGGGGGGGGGCCATATTTTAGAGCAACCCTCCACACATGTACCCTAAACCTTCAACGTCAGAAGCTACGGGAATTAGGATTTAGGGGGTTTATAGTATCCTTAATGGGGGTTAGGAATAGTGGGTACTATACTCCCTATAAAGGACTGCTAGTATAGGGGGAAGATCCCAAGAGCTGAAGCTTCTCCCCTGCAGGCCGGGCTCCAGCGATGATACCACCAGCCAGCGAGCCCGGGTCCGTCTCCGTCGCGCGATGGCCGTGCACCGTGGCCCCCTGTACCAGCATCATGTGCCTTCACAAAGTGGGGGAGGGTTGAGGGTTTAGGGGTTTAGGGTTTAGGGTTTAGGGGTTTAGGGTTTAGGGTTTAGGCTTTAGAATTTAGGGTTTAGGGTTTAGGGTTTAGGCCTTCAGTTCTCGAAACCCTAAACCCTAAACCCTCCATGGTTGACCCCTGTTTTGGGGGCGGTGTTGGCATGCGCGGTACATCTTGACCTGCGAAAGGACTACCATGTGGGGATCAGTCCTACAACTCATGACTTCGCAATTTAAACAGAAAGACGAACCCCAACCTGACACTCAAAAGACCGAACTCTAAACTCTCAACCCTACACCCTACACCCTAAACCCCTAAACCCTAAACCCTAAACCCTAAACCCTAAACTGCCCTAAACTCTAAAGCCTTAACAAAAAAAAGCTTCCGGGATGCTTCATCATCACCAGCAGGAGCCAAAATGCTTGCCTCGGAGATGAGGAATGGGGCAGCACCTACACCCCAAAGCCTATACCATAAGACAAACCCGATAAACCCTACAATGTGAACCCTACTAAACCTTACGGGTATCAGCAACTAAACGACCATCAAGCCCATAAACCTTAACCATCCTGAACCCTAAACCCTAAACCCATAAACCCAAAAAAAACCGTGTAAACCCATGTAAACCCATGTAAACCCATGCAAACCCATGTAAATCCATGTAAACCCATAAACCTAAACAATCCTGAAACCCTCGTCCCGTACAAGCTCCTCCCCCCAAAGCGCCCTGAAATCTTTCCTTGCGCCAAGGCCACTGGTTATGCAGCCACCTGGGCATCAGGGTTTAGGGTTTAGGGTTTAGGGTTTTAGGGTTTAGGGTTCAGGGTTCGGGGTCTAGGGTTAGGGGTTGAGGGTGCAGAGTTGAAGGGGGCGGGGGGGTTCTGGCTTTGTGCTTACGGCCGAGGGCTTGATGGCAGGGAAGGGGGGGGGGGGTGTTTACGACGCTTGACAAAGAGAATGCCCACTTCACAACTCAGTATAGTTCCCAGACGAACACTGCAACGAAACAACATCGCACAATCAACGGAGTGCCATTTTACAAACACGTGTGTCTGGATTTCTTTTGATTTCATCACGTGGGTATCACAAGTAAGTTTCTTTCGTTATGTGTATGATGGTCTTCTGACGCCGACTTTTCAACCGCACACGGATGTCAAAGATTGGCATATCGCATGGGCCACGTTTTGCGACCTGTCTGGTTCACTATAAGGTCTTCACGACTTCAGCTTGTTTGTCCCTCACTCTACGTGCGAAAGCACCCCTTCCATGAGGGCCTGGAAGGGAAACATATTATGCCGAAAAGCGTGGGTTGCAAAGTGGACGTTCCAGAAAGCAGACAATAACAAAAAAGAGCACAAATGAAGAGTTGACATTCTACGCCTACAAAACATGTTCATGGTTGCAAAGCAGGCGTTCTGAATCAGCGGGCGTTCTAACTGTAAAGCATCTTCATCTTAGGTGTTCGCAACTCCGAAATTACTCCCATGAGCACCCGAACTTGGAGAATCCAAACAAGCTCACAAGCGAGTGGCCCCCTCAACCCGAAACCTCTAGACCCCAAAAAACCCAAACCCTAAAAATCCTAAAACCCTAAACCCCTAAAGAATCCTAAACCCCTAAATCCCGAAACCCCGAGCCCTTAAACCCTAAAGCCTAAGCCCTCAAATAAACCCTATGAGACAGAAGCCTTAAACCCTGAACCCCGGCCCTAAACCCTATACCTAGACCCCTAAACCCTAAACCCTAAAAATTACAGTAAACCCTAAACCCCTAAACCCCTAAACCCCTAAACCCCTAAACCCCTAAACCCCTAAACCCTAAACCCTAAACCCTAAACCCCTAAACCCCTAAACCCCCTAAACCCCTAAACCCCTAAACCCCTAAACCCCTAAACCCCTAAACCCCTAAACCCCTAAACCCCTATAGCCTAAACCCTAAGACCCTAAACCCCTAAACCCCCTAAACCCCTAAACCCCTAAACCCCTAAACCCCTAAACCCCTAAACCCCTTAATCCTAAACCCCTAAACCCCTAAACCCCTAAACCCCTACACCCCTTTTAACCCTTAAACTTAACCGAACTTAAACCCGAAACCCCTAAAGCAACCCCTAAACCCTGGAAACCCTTAAGCCCTAGCCCTAGACCCTAAACCCCACACCCCAAAACCCCAAAACCCCTGCAACCCCATGAGAAGCCGAGCCCGGCCTCTCCTCCTCGAGCTGCGCCTTGGTGAGATGCCTGACACTACCAGCGGCTTAGGGCTTAGGAAGGTTTAGGGTTTTTTTGGGTTTAGGGCTTAGGGCTTAGGGTTTAGGGTTTAGGGTTTAAGGTTTAGGGTTTAGGGCTTAGGGCTTAGGGTTTAAGGTTTTGCTTGCTTCTATGTTTTTACAGTTGCGGTGTTATGGTTTAAGCTAGGGTTGGGGGCAGCCTCGGCCCTTTGCGGGCCTTCGGCGTGTCAGGGCCCGTAGAGGCCCTTCTTTACTTGAAGGTCAAAGAAACCCTTTTTAAGTTGCAGGGCTAGGGCTCAAGCTGGGTTCCCTTCTTTAACTAGCAGGTCAGGGAAACCCTTGAAGTTGCAGGGCTAGGGCTGCCGGACCCCTGTCTGGGCTGGGAGTCGACCCTTGCCTGCCTGCTCCAGGAATCCAGCCACCAGGGCAGGGGGCCACGGCAGGAGCAGGCAAACCCTGAACCTTAAACCCTGAACCCCCTCCAGAGCAAAAGTCGGACGATTTGGGGTTATACTTTAGCTACGCTAAAGGTGGTCTGGGTACGGCCACTGACGTTGTCGTAAGGAAGGCCAATATCCGTTGGCCTTTCCAGGACAAACGTTGCGGCTTAACCCTCACCTTTCCATCTCTCTTTTCGTATGGGCGCTCGGGCTGCAAGGCCCTCGGCGAAGCGTTCGGGGTCTGTCGCTCGACGGAAGCGACCCCTCACTCAGTTGAGAATTTAGGGTCTCGGGTTTAGGGTTTATAGAAATTGTATAAGGTTTGGGTCCCAATAACGTTTTGAGCGAAACGTTTTGAGCGAAACGTTTTGAGCGAAACGTTTTGAGCGAAAGTTTTGAGCGAAACGTTTTTTTACATATTAGGTTTTAAGGGTCGGCGTGGGGGGAGGGGGGGGTGGATGGTGGGTGGCGTAATTTAATATTCCGGGGAGGCCCGGCTTCGTAGTTTAGTATTCGGGGGGGAGGGCCGGCTTCGTAATGTATTCGGGGGAGGCCCGGCTTCGTAATTTAGTATTCGGGTGAGGCGAGACCCGGCTTCGTAACTTAGTATTCAGCGGAAGGTCTGCTTCGTAATTTATTATTCGGGGGAGGCCCAGCTTCGTATTTAGTATTCGCGGAAGGCCCGGCTTCGTAATGTAGTATTCGGGGGAGGCCCGGCTGTCGTAATTTAGTATCAGGTGAAGCCCGGCGTTAATTTACCATTCGGGGGAGTTTGGGGGTATTCGGGAAGGCCCGGCTTCGTAATTTATTATTCAGGGGTGGCCCGGCTTCTTACTTAGTACTCGGGTGAAGCCCGGCTTCGTAATTTAGTATTCGGGGGAGTTCGGGGGTATTCGGGGAAGGCCCGAGTATTCGGGGGGAGCCCCGGTTTCGTAATTAAGTATTCGGGGGAGCCCGGCTTCGTAATTTAATACTCGGGGAACAGCTCCGTTACAGCTTCCGTTACAGCTCAGTTGCGCAGCTCCGTTACAGGTCTACAGCTTCCGTCACAGCATCGCCACAGCCGGCAGCGCTCTGTTGCAGCCTTCCGACACGGCTCCACTACAGCTCCGCTCCTTTCCGTTACGGTTTCTGTTACATTTCTGTCACAGTATAGGCCTGCAAATGATGGTAGAGCCCCGCCCCAATCCTAAACCCCCAACACCCCTAAACCCCAAACCATCCTAACCCCTAAACCTCCAATCCTCAGCCCCCCAAACCCCAACTTGCTCACCCGGAAAGCCCTGACCCTAAAAGCCTTTTAAACTCGAAGGCCCTACCATAAAGCCCTATTACCCCTCTACGCTCCTTAAACCCTACACCCGGCACTAAACCCTTTAAATCCGACGCATAAACCGCAAAAGCAACCCTAAATCCTGAACCCAAAAACCCTAAACGCTAAACCCCAAACCTGAAGAAAACCAAGACCCCTCAAATCCCTTTGCTTGGGCCGATGTGCTGGAGGATGCCAAGAGAGTCGAGGCTTGCGTGCGTCTCCTGCAAACGCCCCTTCTGGGGAGGGGGGGGGTCGCGGCAGATCCGCGCTTGAGGCCCCAGTTAGAAATTTAGGGTTTGGGGCTTACAAACGCAGAAGAATTCGACTTCAAAAGCAGCCAAAACCCCGAGCTAGAAAGCTGAACCTTGCCATAAACGCACGCGCGGTGAGCCCTTTTCCTCAAACCCCAAACCCCGCAAACCCCGCAAACCCCGCAACCCCGCAAACCCCGCAAACCCCGCCAAACCCCGCCAAACCCCGCCAAACCCCGCAAATTCAAAAAACCCGCAAAACCCGCAAACCCCGCAAACCCGCAAATCCCGCAAACCCCGCAAACCCCGCAAACCCTAAGCCCTAAACCCTAACCCCTTACCCTCCTACTCTAAACCCGAACCCCTATCCCTCCTAAACCCTCCTAAACCCCCCTAAACCCTCCTAAACCCTCCTAAACCCTCCTAAACCCTCCTAAACCCTCCTAAACCCTCTTAAACCCTCCTAAACCCTCCCAAACCCTCCTAAACCCTCCTAAACCCTAACCCCTAACCCTCCTAAACCCTAAACCCTAAAGCCCTACGCAGTGGGTCCTGAGCCTGTTCGGCCAGGTGCCGCTTCGCAGACGCCTCCAGAATCATCAGGTCCACTTTACCGCTGGCCAGCCTCCCAAGTCTTCGGGGGTTAGGGTTTAGGGTTTAGGGGTTTGGGGATTAGGGGTTGGGGTTTAGGGTTTAGGGTTTAGGGTTTAGGGTTTAGGGCTTAGGGTTTAGGGTTTAGGGTTTTAGGGTTTAGGGTTTAGGGTTTAGGGTTTAGGGTTTAGGGGTTAGGGGTTAGGGGTTAGGGGTTAGGGGTTAGGGGTTAGGGGTTAGGGGTTAGGGGTTAGGGGTTAGGGTTTTGGGTTTTGGGTTTTGGGTTTTGGGTTTTGGGTTTTGGGTTTTGGGTTTTGGCTTTGGAGGATTTAGGGTTTGCAGGGTTTGTAGGGCTTAGTCCTAACCACTTCGCCGCGCCCGAAGCAGAAACAAAAACGCCCCTAAACCCTAAACCCTAAACCCTAAACCCTAAACCCTAAACTTGGCAAAGAGAGTGCTTGCATGCAACCGGCGCGCCGTGGCAGCTGGGGCAAAGCCACGAAGAGGCTCGGCATCACCTGTGAGACCATCCGCTGCTCCATGTCTTGCCTGCTTGGAGGCTTAGGGTTTAGGGTTTAGGGTTTAGGGTTTAGGGTTTAGGGTTTAGGGTTTAGGGTTCAGGGTTCAGGGTTTAGGGTTTAGGGTTTAGGGTTTGGGGTTGAGGTTTAGGTTTTTTTGGGGGGGGGGGGGGGGTTTAGGGTTTAGGGTTTCGGGTTTAGGGTTTAGGGTTTAGGGTTTGGGGTTTGGGGTTTGGGGTTTAGGGTTTAGGGGTACTTATTAACCAGTTGTAACTGCACTTATAACCCACTTAAAAGCCCCCCCCTAAGTGCCCTAATGTGGTCAAACATACAGTTATGAATACAGTTGCAATTGGTTAATAAGTACCATGAACCTCCAAGGAGAGTTGGGCTGAGGACAGGCGGGAGTGACAATGGTCTTCCGGCCGAGGTTGACCTTAGGGTTCGGGTTCCCTAAACCCTAAACCCTAAACCCTGAACCCTAAACCCCCAAACCCCCAAACCCTAAACCCTAGACCCTTAAAGCTCGAGCCCGACAGGGCTTCTGACAAGCTGCTTGAGTGCTTCAATGTCCAGGTCCGCTGGGCAGACGAAGGCCACAATCTGCACGTGCTCCTGCAGATCAGGGTCTGGGCGAAACTCTGCACCCTGAAGCCTGAGCCCTCAGCCCTAAACCCTAAACCCTAAACACTAAACCCTAAACCCTAAACCCTAAACCCTAAACCCTGAACCCTGAACCCTGAACCCTGAACCCTGAACCCTGAACCAACTTTTCAGCCCTAGACCCTTACCACCAAACACCAGCCCCCGAAGGTAGGGAGGAGTTCTTTCGCCACCTCATGGTGTTTTTGTACTATCTTTTGAATTACCCTGAACCCCAAACCCTGAACCTGAACCCTAAACCCTAAACCCTAAACCCTAAACCCTAAACCCTAAACCCTAAACCCTAAACCCTAAACCCTAAACCCTAAACCCTAAACCCTCGGCCTGGGTTTCATAAGTCGCCAGACTCGACGGCTCCTGCGCGCCCTTGGCGACGGTGGCCGCGACCTCTCCAACAAAGGGCTGCAAGGCTGCTTCTACCTGACCAGGGGGGGGTGGTGTTCGGTTTAGGGTTTGGGTTGCAGGGTTTAGGGTTTAGGGTTAGGGTTTAGAGTTTAGGGTTTAGGGTTTAGGGTTTAGGGTTTAGGGTTCAGGGTTTAGGGTCTAGGGTTCCTAGCGGAGATTGGTGACTGTCCAACTCCCATTTAGACTCCCTGCCCAATACCTTCTGTCGGGAAGGATAGTCATACCCCATATTTAGAATTTTCTACAAAATCGTAGAGTAGGTTTCGGGCGCTTTAATTTCAACTAGGCGTCTGCAAAACCTGTATCTTCAGGTGCAACCCGAGGCCACATGAACCTGTTTTTTTTGTAATTAATAGCTAGAAACGGGTTGGTAACTGAGCTCATCTGCTCCTGAACCCAAACCGAAGGCAATTCGACGCCTTGGCGGCCACCCAGACCGCTGCTAAACCACAATGCCCGCTGAACCCCGAAGCCCTGAACCCGAGCTAAAACCCTGAAACCCTGAAACCCTGCCAGAAGACTGCAAACCTGATCTCAAAGCCTCCGCCCTTTGCCCGTCTAGAACCTCCACTCACAAAACAGCCTAAGCCCCTCAAATCCGAATCCTTTGAAAACCCTCAAACCTAAACCCTCAAGCCCCCCTAAACCCCAAAAACCCTGAGACCTACACCCAATACAAACCTACACCTGCAACCCCTGAAAACCTAAACACCCAAGGCCTCTCCCAGTTCCACGCGGCAGCCCCTCACTTTCACCTGACGGTCGAGACGCCCTCGGACCTTGGAGGATGTTTAGGGTTTAGGGTTTAAGGTTTACGGTTTAGGGTTGAGGGTTGCGGTGCATCTGTGTCAGTGTCAGGAAGGCTTGCGGTCCTAGGGGTTTAGGGTTTCGGGTTGGGCGTGGTTCGGGCTATGTGTGTTGGCTTCAAGGATACCAGGAGTTTGGCTTGGGGTCTGCCAACAGCAACCGATTCAGACTTCCTTCTGGGTCTTCACTGGGCGTCTCTGCAACCCTAAACCCTAGACCCTAAAAACCCGACGATTGGAGGTTGTCAGCGCTCCCACCCCCGTCAAGCCCTAAACCCTAAACCTAAACCCTGTACCTTAAACCCTATAATGAACGAACACCACTGGAGGGTTTGAGTGAAAAACGGTGGGGTCTTGAGTTTGGGGCTTCAGAGGCTTTAGGGTTTAGGGTTTAGGGTTTGGGCTATGGTTTGGCGGTTCACGGCCTGACACTTGCCAAGCCAGCCTGGAAATTCACACCCTCTGAAAGAATAAGCCTACATAAACGATGCCTCTAACCCAACAAGGACAGGAACCAATGTCCCTAAACCCCTAAACTCCTAACCCTGGATCACAGCAGATACCTTGAACGCGAACATCAAATAAGGGACCCCTAGAAGGGCCCTGAATCTTCTTCCCCCACATAACCCCTGTATATACTCTGCGCTACATTAAACCCTAAACCCGGAACCCTAAACCCTAAACCCTAAACCCTAAACCCTAAACCCTAAACCCTAAACCCTAAACCCTAAACCCTAAACCCTCAGGACCCTGAACCCTGAACGCTGAACCCTAAACCCTAAACCCTAAACACTAAACCCTAAACCCTAAACCCTAAACCCTAGACCCTAAACCCCAAACCCTAAACCCAAACCCCTAAACCCTTAACAAGCTGTCCAGGGGCCACCAGCTGCTGGTGCGTCCAGCAACCCAAGTCTCCAGTCCGGTAAAGTGGGCCTGGGGCATGGGCCCCATAGGATGTTGGGTTACTTAGGGGGTTTAGGGCTTAGGGCTTGGGGTTTAGGGTTTAGGGCTTAGGGCTTAGGGCTTAGGGTTTAAGATTTAGGGTTTAGGGTTTAGGGTTTAAGGCCCTAAAACGCTAGACCCCGAATGACCCTTGAAACCTAAAGCCCCTGTTCCTACATGCAGACTAGCTGTCTGAGCAAAGAGACCTAGCCAGGGGAATGAAATAGAATGTAGCAAGTCAGGGATCTGAGACAAACAACGCGATCTGCTCTACATTTTGAGCAGTTTACTGCCTCCAACATTCCCCCATTCACGATCAAGAACTGGCAAGTGCGGGGAAACACTTTAAGGTAGGGGCCCCTTGTTGGGTACCCTAGATACAAGGCCCCGTGTCATAGCTGGAACCAAAAGAAGTGGTTCCTAAATTCGGGAACCTCCCAATACATTAAGGTGTTAAGGGCCGAAAGCGCAACGCTTAAGGTTTAGGGTTTAGGGTTTAGGGCTTAGGGCTTCGCGGTTTAGATTTTCGGGCTTAGGGCCCCCTAAACTCCCCCGCCTAGCTCAGGGTGCTCAATGAAGGTAGCTGCCGTGAGATCTGGCCGCTGCCAGTATCCTGTCGACCTCAGCTGGGCAAGGGGAACCAAAGGCTTCAGAAAAAGCGCACTCACAGTTTTCCATGTCAATGTCTTCATACGGTAACAGACATAGTCCATGTGGAGAACACTGTTTCGAGCGAAGCGTTACGCAACATCTGGAACGGATCTTCATAAACGTACAGCAAACTGCGAATCAGTGCTTGCGTATTTGAACCCTCTGATGTATCAACTCCTTGGCAAGGCACCCTAAACCCTAAACCCTAAACCCTAAACCCTAAACCCTAACCCCTCACCCCTAAACCCTAAGAAACGGGGCCCCAAGCATCACGAGCACCACCCGCGTCTTACTTTCTATCCAAACTTTCCACATCACGCGGGTTTAGAGTTTAGGGCTTGGGGTTTATTTAGGGTTTAAGATGTAGGGGTTAGGGTTTAGGGCTTCGGGCTTCGGGCTTCGGGCTTAGGGCTTAGGGCTTAGGGCTTAAGACTTTGGGCTTAGGGCTTAGGGCTTAGGGCTGAGGGCTGAGGGCTTAAGGCTTAGGGCTTAGGGCTTAGGGCTTCGGGCTTAGGGCTTAGGGCTTAGGGCTTAGGGCTTAGGGCTTAGGGCTTAGGGCTTAGGGCTTAGGGCTTAGGGCTCGTCAACTTGCAGACCCAAGGCTTGCAAGGCGCCGCAACACGCTAAGGTCGGAAGCCGTGAGCTCACGCTGTTTCGGGACGGCCAGGTGCCCCTACAAATCGCAAACGGCTGGTTCGGGGGTTTCAGGCCGCCTCCTTCGCTTTGTGCTTCCCGATTGCTTGCCTCATTCGCTTTATACTAATTATCTTGAAAAATATACGATCACACCACTGTAGCTACAAAAGTCACTCCACTGCGGTCATCTATTTTACAGTAGTATTTCTGTACAACTATGCTTAAACTTCTCATCCTATTTATTATTTCATGATCTTATTCATTTGTTCATGTCATAAAATCACCTTCTTCACGTTTATTCTTCTATTTTTGGTGACGTTGAAACACTCAAGCGTTCACGGCTTCTGGGGACCTAGGGTTTATTGGCCACGATGGTCCCGTCGCTCAGTCAATACCGACCATGTCAGTTGAAATTCACGAGTGTCGGGGAGACCGATCGTCAACTTCCGCCATTGTTCGCCATACGGTGTACGAGCAGTGACCGCCCATGTGGTCCTTGGCGCTTTGCACTGCCAAACCATGCCAGCCTAAAGTCCCCACTTTTACTCGCTTTGCGCCTCCTCTTGCTTTTCAGCTGCCATGGTCTTGGCCTTCTTTTCGGCACCAAGTAGCATCTGCTTCGTGCCTCTTTCTCTTCCAGGCCTTCCTCGTCTTTTTCCTCCTCCACAACTTTGCGAACCTCTGCGCTTTCCACGCAATCGCGCACCTCCGCGAAAAGAAAGTACGCGTACCAGCCGAGAGGTATGCCGTGTCACCGCGCAATTCCTGGCTTCGGGATAGTACTCCCAAAACGTCGGCGGCCATGTGGGACGCTTGCGCAATTTGCGGATTTGGGCCTTGCGGAAGAGCGCTACCAACACTTCTGATGAAGCGCCCGTCATAGGCTCGCCGGAGAATCCAAGGCATGTCGCAACGCCGCTGAAGAGGATGCAGTGTGGAAGCTCTGACGAAGTAAGTAGGCCTGGCACAGCTCGCGCAGCTCCCAAAAGTTGGGCCATTTGGGACTCGTCATGCTGCAACGAGCCCACTCGGAAAGGCTGGGAACACATGGCATTTTTCTCGACGACGACGACGACGACGAGGTGCGAGTAGTGCGATCCAACAGAAAGGCCGACCACCGGTGCCAGAAAGGTCTGTCATGCATCACAAATAAAAGGGTTTATAGGCATCGTATTCGTTATATCAAAATATGGCTCCAGATAGCTTTGTAACATGTTTCAACATCCACCTAATTCATTCGGTCATCAACATTTTCAGGGTTTGCCCAAATTCAGAGGAATAAGGATACAACTAATGAATAGTGGAGAATAACAAGGAATTCATCAAGGAAAGAGCGCAGAAGTATCATGAGAAGTATAAAGGACACCTGCATGAAGATTCAAGGGAACGTTTTCTAAAAACAACCCTGAATATTATAAACAAAAAATACCGAGAAAAAGACAGGCAAAAAGCCAAGGAGAAGATAAACTGCCCTAAATGTGGTGTATCTATTAAATGAAGTTGTTTATCAAGGCTTTGAGAACCGAAAATGTAAATCACACACTGGAACTACTTGAAGACCGACCGACCTAGAACAGTAGGAACTATGACAATCCTAGATTACAGCACATGCCATGCTTGTAAGAAAGTTTGAAATACAAAATCCATAACCTTAAGTAAAATCTTACCTGAACTTACAATGTTTCATATGATTGTTGTAATTACTGTGGTATTATGAGAAAGAGAGAAAGAACAAGATAACATTCTTACTGAGTTTTGTAAAATGAAAAATGAATGAGGCAAATCTTCAGGAAAATGAAGAAGGTGAGACATTTAAACATACTTGCAAATAGATCCTACTTCCAGGTGACGGTATTGCTGGAATGAATATAATAGCTAAAGATACTATACTTTACCAGATAGTTATTCTTAAACGAATGAGGTAAACCATTGGGAAGCATAAAACGAAATAGGCGGCCTGAAACCCCAGAACCAGCCTGTGACTAATTTCTTCCCCTAATCCCAGAGTCCTGAGCCTGGAGGCCAAACCCCTGAAAAGCCTGAAAAGCCTGCAAACCCTGCAAACCCTGTAAACCCTGTAAACCCTGCAAACCCTGCAGACCCTGCAAACCCTGTGAACCCTGTAAACCCTACAAGTACTATGAAAACAACAGTCCTCAAACCCTCGGACCTTACCCGATGAACCCTACAACCTCCAGAAAGCCCTGCAACATCCAGAAAGCCCTGCAACCCTAAACGCTAAACTCGAAACCCTAAACCCCCATGAACCCCCCCCCCCCCCTTCCCGCCCAAAAAATAAAAAAAAAATAACTCCACGAAACGTCCCCTGAGACCCAAAATCCGAAACCCGAAACCCCATGAACCCCCCAAAAAAGCCCCACAAAACGTCCATTCAAACCCCTAAAGGGGCCGAGGGGCATCATGCCGCTGAAACAGATCTCGCCCTCGCCGGATGCCACTGCTAGGGAGCCAGGCCTGACCACCACAGGGTTCAGGGTTTAGGGTGTAGGGTTTCGGGTTTCAGGTTTCGGGTTTCGGGTTTAGGGTTTAGGGTAAAGGGTTGATTTAGGGTTTAGGGTTTGGGTTTAGGGTCTAGGGTTCAGGGTTCGAGGTCAGGGTTTAGGGTTTAGGATTTGGGGTTTGGGGTTTAGGGTGGAGGGTTCAGGGGGTTTGTGGGCCTTCTTCTTAATAGGGCTTCTTGGGTTTTTTATAACATAGGGGCCTGAATAATTAGAATAGGGTTTTGGGATTACAAAGGGGCCATAAGGGAATATAACTAGTAATTATTCCGAGGCTTCTCACGGGGTTTAGAGGGCTTTTGTAGGGCTTATCCGGCGTGTCGGGTTTATAGGGTTTTTGCTAGGGCTTATGGGGGTTACATCGTCTTCAATAGGGCTTATAGGGTTTTTGCTTGGGCTTACAGGGTCTACAGTTTTAGGGCCTGTAGGGTTTTCATAGGGTTTGTAGGGCTGGTTCCCTTATAATAAGGAGCCCAGTAAGGTGCCCCGAAGTTCGGAAGCCGCCATATTCCTTGATCAAGGGGTATTAGGCTCTCTGGGTTCCGGTTTTGGACCCGAAGGCTGGTCCTTTTGGGTTTAGGGGGCTACTGGGGCCTACTGGGTCTGTTCTCTCTTCTAGGGTTCAGGGCTGAGGGTTCAGGGCTGAGGGTTGAGGGTTTAGGTTGGGATTCAGATTTTGGCTCGTTGGGCTGGTTTGTCGGGTTTCATTCTTATGTTGGGGGGGTTGTCCTTTAGCTTTTAGGGTTGGTCTCCAGATGTGGTGGGACCCAGTGGGCGGGCGGGCATCTTTCCGTTGCTCAACAAGCTGCTGGACTAGTGCATGCTTTGACTTGAGACGCAGCCCGGAGTTATGCTGAGCCCTAAGCCCTACACCCTCTCAACCCTAGTTTGTGGGCTTAAGCTCTGGGGATTCTCTTGGTGGTTTCGGGGCTGCTGTCGAGGAGGACCTAATGAGGTTTCGGGTTTAGGGTTCCGAGATTGGGGCTGTTTAGGGCTTCGAGCTTGGGGTTTAGGGTTTAAGGTTCAAGGTTCAAGCCTCATACGCCATCTATTCTCAGGACAGCTGCCCCACCCCAAACAAAACCATGAAAGTCCTAGCACCCTAAGCCCGAAGCCCTCAACCCTTAAACTGCAGAGTTCTCAATCCCAACCATCCCCACATCTCACCAAACGCGAAGTCCAGCCCTAAACCCTAAACCCTGAACGATAAACCCTAAACCCTAAACCGAACCCTAAACCCTAAAACCCTAAACCCTAAACCCTGAACCCTAAACCCTAAACCCTGAACCCTAAACCCTAAACCCCAAACCCTAAACCCTAAACCCTGAACCCTAAGCCGCAGCCCACGGCCGACCTGAGCAGGTGCACGCCCACGTGAGGCTGAGGGAGGCCCGCCGGCACCGTGGGTGCCCGGCGCCAGGCATCCAGCCCCGTGAGCCTCACCTCAGGTTTAGGGTTTAGGGTTGAGGGTTTAGGGTTTAGGGTTTAGGGTTTAGGGTTTAGGGTTTCGGGTTTAGGGTTTAGGGTTTAGGGTTTAGGGTTTAGGGTTTGGGGTTTAGGGTTTACGGTTTAGGGTTTAGGTTTAGGGTTTGGCACTTTTAAGAGGCGTTTGAAGGCTTTAGGGTTGTAGGCTTTCAGGTTTTTCGGGGTTAGGGGTTTTAGGGTTTGACCCTAAACCCTAAACCCTCAACCCTAAACCCTAAACCCTAAACCTCAAACCCTAAACCCTAGGCTGCAAGGTCAACACAGGCCCAGGGCACCGAGAACGTCGTGTTCTCTGTCTCGGTCGACCCGTAGAAGTTCGTGAGGCTTGCCTTCGGAAGCCTGGAGTCCGAAACGGTTTAGGGTTTAGGGTTTAGGGTTTAGGGTTTAGGGTTTAGGGTTTAGGGTTTTGGGTTTTGGGTTTTGGGTTTAGGGTTTAGGGTTTAAGGGTTTAGGGCCTAGGGTTTAGGGTTTAGGGTTTAGGGTTTAGGGTTTAAGGGTTTAGGGCCTAGGGTTTAAGGTTTAGGGTTTGGGGTTTTAGAGTTTAGGATTCAGGGTTTGGGGGAGGGTTGGGCAGTTAGCTTGCGTTTAGGGTCAGTGTTGGGTTTAGGGGGCGCACGGCAAAGGTATCCCACACCGAGAGCTCTTCCCAGGACTAGCCATGAACATACCCTTTCAAAGTTCAGGGTTTAGGGTTTAGGGTTTAGGGTTTAGGGGCTTAGGGGTTTAGGGTTTAGGGTTTAGGGTTTAGGGTCGAGGGCGGGCGAACCTTAAATACCCTGAAACCGCGTAAAACCTAAACTCTGCAAACGCTATGCCCAGGGACAGAGCCCTAAACCCTAAACCCTAAACCCTAAACCCCAAACCCTAAACCCTAAACCCTGAACCCTAAACCCTGAACCACATACCCAAGAGTTCACTTCGATCCCGAGCAGCTTCAGGAGAACCTTGTCGGCCAGGTGCCAGGGCAGGGGCTCGCCTCGGGTGTTTGCAGGGCTTCGGGCTGTAACAGGCTTGGAGGGATTATGGTATCTTTAGGGCTCATGAAGAGGTTTAGGTACTGTAGGGTTTAGGTATTATAGGATTTAGGGTTTAGGGCCTGTACAGGCTTGGAGGGATTTTTGTACTTCGGGTTCATGAATAGGTTTAGGTCCAGGTACTGTAGGGTCTAGGCTTCACTGAGTCCCTGAACCCCGGAACCCAAAACCCCGAAAGCCGAACACACCCGAAACGCCGGGCCGCCCATGCACACAACGTGCCGCAAGGTCGACAGCTCCCCCACATCCAGCAGCCTCAGAAGGAAACTTAAGGTGTCGGGTTGAGGGCTAACCCTAAACCCTAAACCCTAAACCCTACACCCTAAACCCCAAACCCCAAACCCTAAACCAAGGCAAGGGTGTGACCAACTAGGACCGGCTGATCGAAACAAACCTACGAGCACACCTTAAGCCCCTAAACATTGCGTTTTGGGGTGGCAGGGCTCATGATAATGGGGCATTTGCCAGAATAGGGTTTAGGGTTTAGGGTTTAGGGTTTAGGGTTTAGGGTTTAGGGTTTAGGGTTTAGGGTTCAGCATTCAGGGTTCAGGGTTTAGAGTTTAGGGTTTCGGGTTTAGGGTTTAGGGTTTAGGGTTTAGGGTTTAGGGTTTAGGGTTTAGGGTTTAGGGTTTGGGTTTAGGGTGTACCCTAAATAGAATATAATCTCCGCAGGGGCCCCAAAAGGGGTACCCCATTTTCGGAGACCACCATATACGTAAGGTCAGGTCTGAAGAAGTCACTCATGCAGCATTCTGTGGCCCATATGGCTTACCGGTCTAGGTTTTCGGGTTTAGGATTCAGGAACAGGGTGTTCGGGTTTAAGGTTTAGGGTTTAGGGTTTAGGGCTTCGGGTTTAATTATGGTTTAGATAGGTTACAAGTCCAGGGCCTTTTAGGTCTTAGAGGTAGGTCGCCCGCATGGAGGCCGTTGAATATTTTCTGGACCTCTTGTGTGCACAGCCCAGCAACAACTGCAGCACCGAAGGCGTCGCGACCTCGGCCCCAGCCAGCCAACAGACAAAAAGCAGAAAACCCGCTACCCGAAACCCCACACCCTAAACCCGATTCCCTAAACCCCTAACCCCATACCCTGAACCTCTAAACCCTAAACCCTAACCTTACATCCGTTCGGATGCTTCGTGGAGGCCCGCGTGCTGCCAACCTACGCATAATCGAATGTAGGGCTCAAGGGCTTACTAGGGTTTTTGGGACCTAAGAACAAAGGTGATGCCTTGTGTGTTTCTTTGGGTTTACAAGGGAACCTGTGCCCTCTGCCCGAAGAATAGTTAAGAACCTGGGCACTCGCGGCCACTTTGAATAGCAGCCTGCATCATTCAGGAAGGCCCAGGCCCCCAAACCCTAAACCCTAAACCCTAAACCCTAAACCCTAAACCCTAAAAACACTGCACCCTAAACCCTAAACCCTAAACCCTAAACCTTAAAGATTGTCAGAGGCCCTTGAAGTGGCTCCTGACTCCTTAGAGCAGCCAAGGGCACCAGTACCGTCACCTCCCTCCAGTCGATAATGTCTGCCAGGTGCATCCTGGGTTAGGGTTTAGGGTTTAGGGTTGAGGGTTTAGGGTTTAGGGTTTTGGGTTTAGGGTTTTGGGTTTAGGGTTTAGGGTTTAGGGTTTAGGGTTTAGGTATATCGGCATATTTACGTCTAAATATATGCCTATTTTATACCGGTGTCAGCTTTTTATGTTTCTGCAAGCATGAAAAAGGTATGCTATCCTGTGTATACATCTGTTTATATATTTGTATGTTTATATGCTTTTACGTTTAGCTGTTGATCGGCTTGATCTGCTTATGTGTTTGTCTCATGTTTTTCTACTTATATGTTGATACGTTTACATGTTTACGTTTAAATGCTTATATCATTATATGTTTATATGTTTAAATGTGTATATGTTAATATGTCTATATGTTTAGATGTATATATGTTTAAGCGTTTAAGTGTTTCTAGGCTTATGTGTTTTTTCTGCTTATAGGCTTATGTGTTTATACGTGTGTGTGTGTGTGTGTGTGTTGATGTTCTATGTTTATGTGCTCGTGACTACTGGTACTTATGAATTATATCTTCATGTACTTATGTCTTTGTGTCTTGGTGTCTTTGTGTATTGTGTATGTGACGTGCATGTGTGTATTCGTGTGCTTGTGTGTTTGTGTGTTTGTGTATTTGCGTATTTGCGTATTTGTGTATTTGCGTATCTGTGGAACTTTGAGTTCCTTAATTGCAACCCAGCATCGGATCACTGGACTTCCCAGGCTCACCGAAGACGATGGTGCCTGGTTAGTTGGGAGCTTGAAGGTCTAGAGTCTAAGGTCTAGGCATTTAGGGTGTAGGGGTTGGGCTTGAGGTGTAGACTAAAGATCTCGTGGTCTCCCTAAACCCTAAATCCTAAACCCTAAACCCCAAACCCTAAACCCTAAACCCTAAACCCTTTAGCTGGGGACAGCCTGCTCCCGCAAGGGGTCAGAAACAAGCACTCGAGCACAGACAAGTGCACTCCAGTGTCTCGCACAGCTTGCTGATAGAGCTGCTTAGGAAATAGGGATCCGGAAAGGGAACCCTTCAGAAAGTAGGACCTTAGGAGTTCCAGGCTTCCTTTGGTTGATGAAGTCCAGTGTCCCTCCTATCAACGAACCCCAAACCCTTTCGGTTAGTTCCTGAAAGCCATTAGGTGACCACCCTACAACAGGGGACTATCAAAATGAATGGGTGCAGTTCTTGTTTTTGCTTGGGGGCTTAGGGCTTGAGGGTTTAGGGTTTAGGGATAACGCTAGGATTCGGACTCCTGTATTGCCCTAACCCCGCGCCTTTCCGACACAGGGCAGGGAAAACCTCGTGGCGGAACACCGACCAGACGTTTGAGGTCTTCTGCAGCACCCGCGTGCCCTCGCCGACGCCGCACTGCTCTGCGAAGAAGTGGGTGGAGTGCGCGAGGCGCGCATGCGTAAAGACGACGCCTGCAGGGGTGTGGGGTTCTACGCGACCCTCACAGCACATAAAGCCCCCAGGTATGTAAGATCCTCATGGAGTATGTGGGGGCCGCGAAGTAAACCCCCCCAATTCAACCGCCAACCCTCATCGCCTAAACCCTAAACCCGAAACCCCAAACCCTAAACCCTAAACCCTCAACCCTCAACAGCCTTTGGGCGTGCCGGTGGAGCCCGAGGTGTAGATGACCTGTGCCACCCTCTCCAAGGACTCCACAAACTTCACCTGGGACCGGTTTAGGGTGGACTTCCCTAAACCCTAAACCCTAAACCCTAAACCCTAAACCCTAAACCCTAACCCTAAACCCTAAACCCTAAACCCTAAACCCTAAACCCTAAACCCTAAACCCTAAACCCTAGACCCGGATTCAGGGCCTTAGGCTTTCAGGGTTTCTGGGCTTCTGGGCTTGAAGGATCGACCCTTTGACCTTAAACCTAAACCCCTTGAGCCCTGGTTTAAGGTTTAGGGTTTGGGGTTTAAGGGCATGATGGATCCCGCTGGCCTGTCTGAACCCTGCGCCATGATAGGCCCAGGGTGCTTCTGGTTCGGGTCAAGGGCTTCAGGGGGCACATTGTGTGCTACAAGAGATTTGGGGCTCCCAGGTTCAGGATTTACGGGCTTCGGGGGTTTTGGGGATTCAGGGTGTTAGGGTTTAGGGTTTAGGGTTTAGGGCTTAGGGTTTAGGGTTTAGGGTTTAGGGTGGTTGGAGGTTTAGGGATGTAGCCCCGAGGCCCCCTTAGCCCGGAGCCCTAAACCTCAAAGGGCCTCAAGGTTGATCGATCTAGTTAGGGTTTAGGGTTTAGGGTTTAGGGTTTAGGGTTTAGGGTTTCGGGTTTAGGGTTTTAGGGTTTAGGGTGTTTCGGGTTTGGGGCTTAGGCTGCACCGAGGGATTTGGGCGTTCTCCCCCCTCATGTAGCCGCAAAGAAAGTAGAACCCTGATCATCCTAAAGCCTAAACCCTGACCCCGAACCCCCCTTCTGCCTGTTTTGAAACAGGCCCACTTGAAACCAAGGAAGGATTGAAGCTGGAAGCCTGAAACTGAAACTCCCAGACTTTGGGCTCAAGACCAACAAAACCCTAAATGCAAGCCTGCGCAAGGTTTGTTTGGGGTTTAGGGTCTCGGGTTAAGGGTTAAGGGTTTAGGGTTTAGGGTTTAGGGTTTGGGGTCGGGACATGTCAGTCGGACAGGGGGTCATTTTTGTAGGAACATGAAATACACAGCAATGCAGGAGCACTTTTCTTCGCGAATGGGAATACCAAGTGTCAACGCGCAGCATAACATATGCTGAACCCGACACACACATGGCATACACGTATGCCAAACTCGCAAACCGCACATCAAAGCACGGGCGAACGCAACCCTCCCGCGTGTCGAGAGGGCGGGCCGGGCGGGACACGCGAGAATGCAAGCCACTTGCAACACTGCACTGCTTCTCGAAAGTTGCAGACGAGCAGCAACACAAGCAGATGGCAAATGGCTTCAACGAGCACATGACATGAGCATCACGCGCACGCAACCCTGCCCGCAAGACCTGCGCCAACGAACACACCCCTGCAGACAGACAAGTCCCCTTACGATGGACGCGGTCCACTCCACGGGACATGTCAGTCGGACAGGGAGTCATTATTGTAAGAACATGAAATACACAGCAATGCAGGAGCACTTTTCTTCGCGAATGGGAATACCAAGTGTCAACGCGCAGCATAACATATGCTGAACCCGACACACACATGGCATACACTTATGCCAAACTCGCAAACCGCACATCAAAGCACGGGCGAACGCAACCCTCCCACCCGCAAGGCGACCCGTGCTCTCATCGCGAGCTGCCATCTCCGGACAACGCACAAAACCCTTGGGTTCACTGCCATGGATCTCGGTTCTTCAGTGGCTCTGCACGTCTTGCCCTTTTTCTCACGCGTCTCCTTCTTAGCCCTCGCGAGCCGAATGTCCTCGACTGCACCCTTCTCCAGCATATCTTGAAGCACGATTCCCTCGTAGTCGTCGAAGCAAAACCGGACTCGACGCTCTGCAGCGAACCCCCGGAAGTCTTCGTTCGTTAGGGCGTCAGCTTCATGATTCTGGAGACGCGGGCACCAATCGAGGCACAGTTCTGCACTGTCGCGCAGCAGTAAAGCTGCCAGCTCCATCACGAAAGCCATCAGTGGGAAACGCGTCGTCAGGAGACGTTTCATGACGCACGCATTGCCCAAGCTGTCAGTCGAAGCTGAGCACACCACGCTGCCGCTTAGTGGACTTCCTGCTGACTGGCTCAATCCGAAGCAAACTACTGCTGCCAAAGTTGCCAACAATTCCAGAGAAGCTATAGCCCGGAAGGGCTCGCCGGCTAGGAAGGCCCACGGCGCATTAAACCTGGTTAGCTTCTCGCTGAACCAGCGGCAACCTTCAGTTGCTTCTGAGTCGGCGACGGCCCAACCGCCGATGAAAATATCTTCTCCTTCAGCACGAGCGTCTGTGCGGAAAACCTCACGGCACACTTGATGCTTCACGCCCACTCGCTGCAAGTTGCCTCCGTCTTCAAGCATCTTCAGCAAGAACGACAGGACAAGCCGCAATGCTTTGGGAAGCTTCAATCTTGCAGCACGCTCCTTGACCGCGGAGGTCCATGCGTACAAAGGCCCCAAGAACGGTCGTAAGGCTCCAGCGCTGCAAAGGCAAAAGAAAAGCGTCCCAACACAGAGCTGACCTCTGCCAACACGACATAGTCATCCTGGAGTGCCTTTCCAATCCAATTCATTAGCCAACGCGCTTTATTCGCACCAATACCGAGCAGCTTCTTTGGCATATCCAGGTGGTATCCAACCCAACCGACACTTAAACCACCGTGGAATTTGCGCCACGCGATAGGTAGCCCCAAAGCGCAGAGAAAGAGCAGCGCAACGGCCACGCTGCCACGCGCCAGCCACAAGTTGTCATCCACGTACGTCAAGATGAAAACGGCGATCTGACGTAATAGATAAAAGACAGCACGTTGTAGCCCTCCCATGAGTCTGGACCAATGCACAGCGACACTAGAGATACCAAAAGTTCCAACAGTGTTGACCCAGACATCGTCCGAGGAGGAAGACACCCGGCATGCCTGCAGGCCCCACTGCTCCTCTTTGACTTTGAGGAGTCTGTGCGCACGTCTGATGTCCGTGGTCAACGCAAAGGTGGGCTCTAGCTCACGGCATGCTTGGCGCATGTCACCTGCGGTGGGACAAACCAACTGGTCGCGCACCTTGATGCGACCATTGACACCTGCGCCGTGGGTGCCATCATGTGTGACTCGGAAGGAATCATCGGCTTTCTTAATGGCCCCCAGCGACGCGATCCGCAAGTTGCTGCCATACTTGGCCTTGGCCTCTGCCATGCTCATGTTTACCATAGCACCAAGCTTCTCCTCCTGCCGGAACTGCTGCTCCAATGCTGCCGAGTTGATCTCAGCTGCCGGATAGTTGCAGCGTACATCCTCGCTAGGCTCTTGCTCATCGCTGTAGTCACGCCACTTGCACTTGCGGGCAAAGACAGCAGGCGTGCGTGGAAGCTTCTCATTGACCCCGAGAGAAACGCCATTTGCAAATGAGTTGGAACTGGTGTAGAAGACACGGAAGTCGGGATCGCCTGATAGTCGCAGAAACTCCTCCAACATCGCTAATCGAAAAGGCTGCCTGTCAGGAACATGGTCCAGGTCAAGCTGAGTGCCATAGCGGTGAACTTGCCTTTTGATGATGAGCCGCGCATCATCCAGCAAGTTATCATCGAAGGGCGAGTCATGGTGTCTGCCACAGGCAAGTCCAAGAACGAGACGACATGGGTCCATCTTGTCACGCAACAGTTGCTGTAACTGCTCAAAGCACTGCTTTGCCATTCCCAGACGGCCATCCAATGATTCGTCCTTGCGCTGCTCGGGGGGCCAGCGACCAGGAGAGCACAAGCCTGCGCCATCCACAAACGCGCGCCTCTTGCCCATGAGCTCAGAGACCATCGGAGGACCGGTGTCCCAGACCCCAGAGCCCAAGCGCTGCTTGGGAAAGCCATCTTCATCATCATCGGACGACTCATCTGCGGACTCTTGCCGTTGATAACCACCTGGAGAGTGGCCCTCAGAGGCACCAGTGTCATCATTGACAATGTCGTCAACAGAAGAAATGTAGCCTTCCAAACCGGACTGCGCCGAAGAGAGCGTCCCCACCGAAGGCGAGCGCAGGCCGCAAGAAACCGAGGGGCACTGTGAGAGACGGGGCTCCGCCTCGGTACGCGAAGCCCCTGCAACGTTTCAAGATGAGGTCTGCTCAGTAGACTTCTTCTCCGGGCAAACCTTCTTGCCATGACCAGGAGCGAGGCACAGCTGACACACATGCTCAAAACCGCAGCCACCCTGACACTTGCCATTGTTGAACTTGAAGCAAATGCCTTTTCCACACGCTGTCTTCGTCTTCAAGAACAACTTCTTGACTTGACCCTTTCCACCTTTCCCACCTTTGCCCTTGCCCTTTCGCTGGAGCCAACCATCATGGTGTAGCCACGCGTCACCCTGATCATATGACGAAGTCAGGAATTCGGCAGACGTAGTCAAAGGCATGAGAAAATGAAGGTTGAGAATCTCCGGGCACTCGCACGCTGTTTCCAAAGCTCCCGACAAGGAATTGGCATCGCCAGTCCGAACAAACTAGTAAGCCTTTTTACGAAGCTCCTGCTCAAAGGAGAGCACTAAACTCCAAGCAGGCCTCTTTGTCTCTTTCCCGAACATCAAGGGGTGGCTGGCGATGTGTTTGCCCAAGACAAAATCTGACAGTCGGCGAAAGGCATCGATCAAGTCTGCAGACAACCAAGGCTGATTCACGTGCTTTGTTCTGCACATGAGCCAAGCGATAGCAATAAGACGGTGGCGCTGACGTAGTTCCTCACCAGTGGCAGGCAGAGCCACACGGGCCGTGCCGGGACGATCCCGCGCCATGCTCGACGATGCTGCTGAAGAGATCAATGTCCTTATCTCCGAGACAGAGAACCTCGCGCAAGTCCTCGGCCTGGAGAGCACTTTGCTCAATCTGCTCAAGCTTCGTCGCAACCAACGACTTTGCAGGAACTTCCGAGTCCCTGAGGCTGCCGAATTCGGCTTCGACAGCTTTGCGCATAGCTGCCATCTCCGAAAGCTGAACCACGCGCTGTGACTGACCTAGGCGGCTTTCAACCTTCAGCTTCTCCTCCGTAGTGGCCTGAAGGCGAGAAGACTCCCAAGCTGCTAACACGCTTGCCACAGCAACGCGGGAAGGGGTGTCTTCATCATGTTTCAAGCCAATCTCTGCCGCCAACGCACCACGAACATCAGCACGCGACTCATCCATGCCCGCGAAGAGATGCAAGTTTGTAAATCCGGCATGGCAAAGAGCGATTTGTACTTTCTGGGGAACGCCTTTCTCTGCGAGATGGAACTTCAGATCCGAAGAAGCCGACGCCAAGGCAACCTTCTGCTGCTCCTCGGTCAGTTCCGTCAGTGGCATGATGCAGCACACAGAAGAAAAGGAACTTGCACTCTGTCAGGCAAGCGTTACTGTGACGCTACAGACTTGTAGGCCAAATGAAGCACTTCAACACGCGCAGTCGCAAGATCAATCGTAGCCAGCCAACATGGAGGCTATGGGCAGCGTCCCATGCAAAGGACGCAGCAAGGGGCACCTGTTGACAAACCTGTCAACAAAGCCATGCAACATGTTGACAAGAAACATTGTCAACAGCATGGACGACACTACATGTCGCTAGCCGCCCCAAGCAGACGCATACTTCAAAGCGTGCATCACCGCACCTCTGAAAGGCATAGATCAAACATCCAAACGCAGCACGCGCAAGGAAACCGCCTAACTGCCTACCTAGGACGACGCTGGACGTGGCCAGCCTTACTTCGAAGAGCTCGAGGAAGCCAGGCTGGCGTCAGTGCTGTCGGACGAACCAGATTCGTCAATGTTGCCACCTGACCAGGCATAATCGAAGCGCACTCCTTGCAGATCATTATAGCCCTCGAAGGCGGTGATAGTGGACCCCGGCTTCGCGCTGCATTTTCCCCAACGATGGAGGCGACGCAGACGGCGATTTTTGGTGATGCACACAAAGTACTTGAAACTTTCGTCGACGGCTTGCTTGTGGGTGATCCGCCGGCCCAGCTGCTGGCGGTGGCACCGAGCAGTCATCCTCTGCCGGAGAAATGGGCGGAGGCAGAACCTGCCTCCCGGGCTGCAGCAACCGCAGTTGTTCAGCAATGACACCCACATCTTCACCGCACTGTTGCAGATACGACTCCAGCTCACTGAGGCCTATGTCACGAACACCGTCGGCAGAATTTGCTAGCACACCGATGACCACCTCACGCTGAAGTTGGGTGACAATGCATACTCATCGCCACTTGAAAACACACGCCAACGCCCAAGGAACTCCCTCCGCTCGCGGGACACACCAAGTAGGGCAGCACAACTTGTAAGCCAGCACCGCTCACTGTGTTCTGTCCAGGCCCGCACACACGCCAGTGCAATAACAAGCTTGGAGTCCGATAAGACCCAGGTACCATGCACCCAAAGTGGTAGGCGCAACTCCTGGTATAGCAGCTTGGATAACGCAGAGACTGCCGTGTAATCAGCAAAGACCGCCTTGCAGGACTGCAAATCTTGCGACGGCAACGGGATCAGGTAGTCCCGCGCAAAGCTCATGTCGGCAGCTGACCAGATTGCGAAACCAATGGACTTTGCAAACGTGGCACTGATGTCGACGAAGACCGGCAGCCACTTAACTTTCTTCCCAGGACCTGAGGTTTTCGTGCGCTGCAACTGCGCGGAGAGACCCTTCTGGTCCAGCCGGAGGTTTGACGGCACAAGTCCGGCCAGGTCAGCACTGCGGGACGAGGTCCAGAATTTGACGAGCTTTGCCCAAGCAAACGCTCTGAAATAGCGGGGCGCAGTTTCAGAAACCACCAAAAGCTCCAGCGATATAATCAGCAACAGGGGATGGGGAATCGCCTTCTTTGGAGGATCCGCGCCACTTTCCAGCTGCAAAGTGATCTGGTCAACAGATTTCCGGAACAAAGACTTACCGGAGAGAGACGTTCGGCCTCTGGTATGTCCGCAGTACGTTCCATGAAAGTTAAAGTGCTAGCAAAGGCCTGCGGCACGGTGACCCCACAAGGCTGCGCTGCTAAGTCATCGACAAAATCCACTACCATGGACACACTTGACGGCCATGTAGCCCCGTACGCAGCACGCAGCCACTTGGTGAAGCGCCACCAAAGTTGCACATGCTTTTTGAGGGTGTTGGCACGAGTGGAGCCGGATAGTCGAAGCGCCAGTCTCTCCGCTTGCGCTACATCAATGGCTTCAACGAGCGCAGGGACTTTTCCATCAATCAAGATAGCAGCTAGCTTAGCTCTCCACCGGGCCAAGGCCTTGTCTTCCAACTCCGCACGGGAACCAGCTGACCGAGACTTGGGGATGGACAGATGTCGAGAGCTACGATGAGCTCCAGAAAGTGAGACCAACCACTGAACTGTATCTGGGGCCGCTGCACACAAGGCTCGCTTGCGGCGATATACCTCCAGGTACTGGATAGCCGGATCCAAACCTGCTCGCCGATTTTGTCTGAGCTTAGCCCGCCCCGCAACACGTGCTTGTAGTGAACCCAATACCATGCATAGCCAAGCTAAGTCATCAGCGTCCGAGGCATAGTCATAGAGAAATTCCCTGCGGTCGTTGCTGTCCAAGCACAACGCATTCAGAATCTCAACGTCGGGCAAATTGCCATCTGGAGCCAGCTCCGTCCGCAAGGAAGCCGGGAGCTGCGACCATAGCTCCTCCGAGCTGTCTGCTACAACGAGCACCGAACCGGCCGACTCGGATTCGGTCGCGGTAGCCGATGCAGCCATCTACTCTCGCAGGTCAAGCAACAGAAAGAAGACACGCGAGAATGCAAGCCACTTGCAACACTGCACTGCTTCTCGAAAGTTGCAGACAAGCAGCAACACAAGCAGATGGCAAATGGCTTTAACGAGCACATGACATGAGCATCACGCTCACGCAACCCTGCCCGCAAGACCTGCGCCAACGAACACACCCCTGCAGACAGACAAGTCCCCTTACGATGGACGCGGTCCACTCGACTAGGGATTAGGGTTTGGGGTTTAGGGTTTAGGGTTTAGGGCTTAGGGTTTAGGGTGTTTCGGGTTTAGGGATTAGGGATATCCCTGACACCTGGGTGCCGGTGTCGGATGCCCATCTCAGCTGCCTCCTTGGCAGCTCGACAAAACACAAAAAATCCTCAACGCCGTACTGGAAGTAGGGTTTAGGGGGTAGAAATCCTCAACGCCGTACTGGAAGTAGGGTTTAGGGGGTAGGGCTTAGGGCTTAGGGCTTAGGGCTTAGGGCTTAAGGCTTAGGGCTTAGGGCTTAGGGCTTAGGGCTTAGGGCTTAGGGCTTAGGGCTTAGGGCTTAGGGCTTAGGGCTTCGGGCTTAGGGCTTAGGGCTTCTTAGGGCTTAGGGCTTAGGGCTTCTTAGGGCTTAGGGCTTAGGGCTTAGGGCTTAGGGCTTAGGGCTTGGGGCTTAGGGCTTAGGGCTTAGGGCTTAGGGCTTAGGGCTTAGGGCTTAGGGCTTAGGGCTTAGGGTTCAGGGCCTGAGGGGGTCCGGAACCCTGAAAGTTTTTTTGAAGACCTGCGGAGCAAAAAGCTCCTATCAACAGTGGAACGCTAAGGGACTAACGGTTTAGGGTTTAGGGTTTTAGGGTTTAGGGTTTAGGGTTCAGGGTTCAGGGTTTAGGGTTTAGGGTTTAGGAATTAGGGTTTAGGGTTTCGGGTTTAGGGTTTAGGGTTTAGGGAGGGAACCCACCCTACCACACCCCTAAACCAACCCCCAAAGAGCCCAATACCCCTCAATTAAGGAAGATACACGAAATCATACTAAGGGTCCCGACACAGTTTAAGGCATATTCCTGAATTAAGGGGTATTGGGCCTTGGACCCCTAAACCCCCAAACCCTTAACCCCTAGACCCCTATCCCCCTAAACCCCATGACCTGGCCAGCTCTTTATATAAATCCCCCCCCCTTGGGCCCTCTTGCAACTCGATGTAAGAGAGAACTGCCCCAAGATTGGAGTTTCCCGAAATCGGTGTTTAGGGTTTGGGTTTGGGGTTTGGGGGCGAGGGTTTCGGGATCTGTCATGAGGATTAGCGTGTACTTTTTGGGGTTCCGATGAAAAGGGAACCCTACTATTTGGGGGCACGATCTTCGGGGTCTAAACCCGAAACCCCTAAACCCAAACCCTTCGTAAAACCCTCACATGTATCCGGTATCACCTGAGATTCGCATGGAGCACCGGCGTAGTCAGCTGCTGGAAGGGCCCATCGTCGTCCTGGGAAACGCGAAGCCCTGTGCCTGTGGGACTTCGAACCCTGAACCCTAAAGCCTAAACCCTGAACCCTAAACCCTAAACCCGAAACCCGAAACCCTAAACCCTAAACCCTAGACCTGGCGTCCTACGCCCTGAAGCCCTCCATGCAAGTACATGAAGCCCTTGATCTTGATTCGTAAACCTTACTTCCTAAAAACTTCGTTATGGGTACTTCCCTAAACGAGGGTCCTTTTGGGATCCTTACCTCTACAGGGACCCTAAACCCTCAACCGTCAACCCTCAACCCTAAACCCGACCTAAACCCCTAACCCCTAAATCCGAAACCCGAAACCCTAAACCCTACAGGACCCGAAGAAGCTGTGTCGCCCAGCGTCGCAGAAAAGGGCTGCCGGGCTGATCTGCTCCTTGGCTGCGAGAGGAACGAAAGCAGCTTCACGAGGTTTTAGGGTTTAGGGTCCAGGGTTTAGGGTTTAAGGTTTAGGGTTTAGGGTTTAGGGTTTAGGGTTTAAGGTTTAGGGTTTAGGGCTTAGGGGTTTAGGGGTTTAGGGGTTTAGGGGTCTAGGGGTTTAGGGGTTTAGGGGTTTAAGGGTTTACGGGTTTAGGGGTTTAGGGGTTTAGGGGTTTAGGGGTTTAGGGGCTTAGGGGTTTAGGGGTTTAGGGGTTTAATGGTTTAGGGGTTTAGGGGGTTTAGGGGTTTAGGGGTTTAGGGGTTTAGGGGTTTAGGGGTTTAGGGGTTTTGGGGTTTTGGGGTTTTGGGGTTTGGGGATTTAGGGGTTTAGGGGTTTAGGGGTTTAGGGGTTTAGGGGTTTAGGGGTTTAGGGGTTTAGGGGTTTAGGGGTTTAGGGGTTTAAGGGTTTAGGGGTTTAGGGGTTTTGGGGTTTTGGGGTTTAGGGGTTTAGGGTTTAGGGTTTAGGTTGTGCCAAACGGAAGCGCGCTTTGGGACCGCGCAGTCGTCTGCAGACCTACCCACCCCAAGACCGCCCACTTACAACTCTCAGAATTTAAGACCTTCTTATATTTTTTACAAAGCATCACATGGGTCAGCACTCATGCACTTTTGGGCGCCTCCACACGCGCGTGTGGGTTGGGTGAGGGAGAGCGCCGGGCTAAGGCAGGGCCAGGGAATGGCAGGGGCTCATCCACAATCCACAGGGCCAGGGCCAACAGGAGGGCCAGAGTGAGGGGCCAGGGCCAGCCAGGGCCAGGGCCATATGGACGTTGTCGTAAACAAGGCAATATCCATTGGCCTGTCCAGGACAGACGGCGAGGCTTAACCCTCACCTTTCCATTTCTCTTTTCGCATGGCCGCTCGGGCTGTGAGGCCGAACGCTTGGCCGAGGTCTGTCGCTCGACGGAAGCGACCCCTCACTTAGTTTAGGGTTTAGGGTTGAGGGTTGAGGGTTTAGGGTGAAGCAGTGGTCAGCTGTGCGCAATTGCGTGCAGACGTGCCCACCCCAAGACCAGACACACAAAAACTACTACAAAAACGCCGCTGCTCGTCTTGGCAGGCGCCCTTCCTCTGACACCTGCGTGTGACGCCGAAACAGCCTATGACCAAACACAGCGTGCAGTGTTCGTGGACTGGATCCAACCGCCTTGCATAACACACAAAGAATGTGGCACACACATTCTTTGGTCGGACTAGTGGGCAGCAGGAGCTTGAAGCGGTATGAGCATCACAAAGAGCGCGAGGGCTCATATCATACGCTACGAGAAATCTCACTCAGGCGCGAACTGTTGGGACTTCTCCGCACATCTCCCCAACCTGCTTCCAAAGTCACGCACCTGCATGCAATGATCAGGTTGCGAGCACCTGCCCCGACGCGTCTCGTCTGCTGCAAGCAAGAGCCTTGCGCCATTCGGCCTGGTCCGCAGACCAGCCCTGTATCAGGATGTTCAATCATGATCAACACGCACACGTACCACAACGAAAGCGCCGTCTGCCTGCCTCCCAGAATTTGATGTGTTCCGCCACACTGTCACCTACGCGATGCTGGGTTGCGAAAGATGTAACCGTGTGCGAAGCAAGACTGAAACATTTTCGCGGAGTTTCAGTGCCTCGGCAACCTGAAATCTCCAAGGCCAAGTGGAAGGGAAACGGAAAGAAGATGGAGAGCAGGTACACCTGCACTCGAACCTGCTGCATCTGGGACAGGGCAAGCATCCACAAATCGCATAATTGGCCTCCTCAAATTGTGGTTCTTGCCGCATCGCAAAGGCAGCACGAAGAAAGCGCCAACAAGGTGACCGCGACAACACAAGTTGCGCAATGTTGCACACTAGGCTTGGCAGAGCTGTTATGCATCAATCCGCGAGAATATGCACCACCAGTGTGCAGACGCTGCAACAGAGAACTGAAAATACGCATCAGCACAAGCTAAACCTATCCTCGGCAGAGCAGCCCTTTGCAGATGCCATCCTGCATAGCAAGACGTTGCAGGAAATGCAGGCCAGAATTTTCCAGATGTATCATGCATTTTCAGCATTGCTCACTCGCTGGCGATCAAGGTCCTTGCACTTGGCGCCCCCCCCCCCCCCCCCCCCCACCCTCCCCCCCCCCACTGGTTGCTTTAACATGGAGGTACCTTCTTTGTTTTTTTGATAACTCTGAATTTTTATACTATTTAGCATGATTCCCATTCATTGTAATAGGAACCTAAGAAGTTCTTTAAAAATTCATGAGAATCCTCTGAAAAATGAATAGGAATCATATTCAATATTGTTAAAAATCCCAGAGGATGCATGGCTGGGATTCCGATCAGTATTGAATGTGATCCTATATTCACTCTCAGAGGACTCTCATAAACGAATAAGAATCATACTAAATATATTCAAATTCATAAGGTTCCAGTAAATGCATACCTCCATGTTAAACCGACGGGGAGGGGGGAGGAGCCTCTTTAACAGCATTGCTAGTGAAATTGTGAGTGCGGTTAGTGCACCCTTCACTTGTTGAAGCACACATGTTTGGAGAGCAGCTCTGCTAAATCGCGCTCAGAAAAAACCGAGACTTAAAACGCCCTGCCAACCATGTCACAACGGCTCGGGGCCCAGCATCATTGCTGCCAACAAGTGCAAAAGCACAACCTCGTCGGCTTGCCAACTTCTGTGTTCGGGATACTTTTGACAATGCCCAGCTATTTTGGGCCTGAAATACAACACGCCGCTCACTTTATGACCAAAAAGCGACGGAGTTGCCGCACCTCGTTGCCGGCCACTATCTCGGCAAACTGACTCCCAAGGCTGCGCCGGGCGACACTGGACCTGAGGTTGGCTGGCTTAACTTAAGGAGTGGACCAAGCGTTACCTTGTACATGCACAAGACATGCTGAAATCGAAACGAACCACGAGGATGTGCATCAGCTCGCTCGCCCGTTCAAACTTAACGTCCTCCACTTGTGCATGACATCTTCTGAAGCGGCCTGACTGGAAAAAGCTTGAATGGCCTTGATGAAAAATGCCGGTCGTTCGCTCCGCCGGTGTACAATG